TTCTTTTTTTTTTTTTTGAGAGGTTTTTGCTATAGGGCACATGTGCTTACCAGAAAGAGAGACAGAAAACAAGAAATCACCCCCAAGGGGGATGACCACACCGCAGTGCCTTTGCCTCCATTCTCTCGGGCATGCACACACATGTGCCTGGTGTGAGTTTAAGCCACCAGGTCCAGGACTCGAACTGCAGTCGACTACATGGGAGTCCAGCAACATAGCCATTACGCTAACTGCTGGTCCCCGTATTTCTTATTTCTAAGATTCTCCTATTCTTTGTTCTTTGTTCTCTCTCTCTCTCTCTTTTTTAAGGGATTGTTTATTTCATTTTATTATTATTATTTTTAAATTTGGTCAGAGAGAGAAAGGGAAACTGAGAAAGTAAGCCACCATGGCCTGGACTGGGGCACAGCCAGCCATGTGAGAGTCCAGTGCCTTAACCACCACATGACCTGGTGCCCCGTTCTTTGTTCTGAAGTGTTGTATTTCCTGTCTGCTGAGCCAATTACCAGATGTAGCCCCGAACAATTAAAGACAGTACGATCGGCAGTGCTTAGCTGCTCAGATGTTCGGTGCTGATGCTGAATTCTGGAAGGTGAAAGGGGCCAAGTAAACCACGGTCTGCCGGAAACACTGAGGACAGCTTCATCAGAGGGGTAGCACAGGCTCGGACCTGGACTCCCGAGAAGTAAACGTGGGTAGGGAGGCGTGACAGTGTTGACAGCAACAACAGGCCTCGAAACCAGGCTCCGCCGAGTCACTGCAGAACCTTACAGCTCCAACTTCTCTGCGCCTGGCTTTCCTTTTTTTTTTTTTTTTTTAAGTTTATCTCTTTCTTCTGAGAGAGAGAGACAGGCACCCCTAATGGGATCTTCACACTGCAGTCCACCCCTAGTCTTAGCCAGCTGGATCATGGATGCAGTAAACCCAGAACCTTCCCATGTGGGTCCAGTTGCATCGTAGCTACAACACCGCCTGACCTGTTTCTTCATCTGTTATTTTTAGAAATATTTAATTTTATTTAATATTATTGTTGTTGTTATTTTAATTTTGTATAGGGCATACAAGCTCACCAGAGAGAGACAGAGAGCGGGGGAAAGTGAGAAAACAAGCTGCCAGGCCCAGGACTCCAACCGTGGTTGGCTATGTGGGAGTCCAGCGCCCTTAACCACCATGCCACCTGCCGGCCCCTGTCTCCTCATCTGTAATAGGATTAGTCATATCTGCCCTCTAGGGTTGCTATAAGGAGAAAAGTTTTATATGTAACATATCTTGTACATTGTTAGAATTTAATAAATATTCTTTATTCTTTAATTCCTTGAGGGAGAAAAATATCTCCTGTAGGCACAATTCTTTTTTTATTATTACTTTTTTTATACATTCAATCACCTTATTTAGCTTACAAAGTGAGTATTTCAATGTGTGAACATTTCTCCCTAGTCCAGTTGATTAAACTATAAAATATCTGCAACAGATAATACCACATTTCTTTGTCCCATTAATGCTTTGCCTCCGTATTTATCTTCTAAATGCCCTGCCTCAGGCCCTACTCTTCCACACACACTGTATCTGGTATTTACACCCATTTATTGTTTGTATATCCTTTAGTCAGTTTCTTAGCACAGTGCTGGCTGCATCCTGGAGTCTTATCCATGAGGGAGGGCGTGGGGAGGGCGGGAGTGAAGGGAGAGCATCCCAGGCAGGGAGGAGGTTGGCCTGAGCCTGTTGTATGAGAGGTCACCTGGGACCCCAGCCTGACTCAGCAGGTTTGGGCCGATATTGTGTGGAGGCATCAGGGTGGGGAGGTGAGGAGGAGGCTGAGGGAGGTGGCGTGGGGCCGGTATCAGGAGTAGAGAACGTCTGACTCAGAAACTGGTGTACAGTTTTCAGCATGAACACTAGGGCAGGGGACTTAAGCTTCCCGAACTTACAGGAAAACGATTCCTGCCCCGTCTACCAGAACAGAACAGGGTGAAGGAGCCTCGGGTGTGCGTGAGCTTTGCAAGTTAGCGGCAGTGTCACAAGACAGAAAGCCTCTTGTCCACATCGCTGCAAAACCACTGCTGGGTTTTAAGTCTTTAGAAGCAATAAACGAATAAACCATAAGCAAGGTATACTCTAGTAAAAGCATTTCTTCCTTGTCCTTTCCTTAATTGGGCAGTATATAATTTTCCTTTTTAATTGTTTTTATGCCTAGACCCGTGCTGTCCAATTCAGTAGCCACTAGCCACATAGGGTCATGTAAAAATCATGTTTTGAGACAGGTTCTCATTATGTCGCCCCACCCGGCCTTGAACTCAAAATCCTCTTGCTTCAGCCACCCATGTAGCTTGGGTTACGTGCACCTCGCTCCGGATTCAATTAAAATGAAAGGTAAAATTCAGTTCTTCAGTCACACTAGCCCAGCAGCGTAGTGGCTGGGGGCCGGGGACGCACCGGGGATCGCCACCCACACTGCCCCAGCGGGGTAGGGGCTGCCGCCGAAGACAGCACGGGGCAGACGTTGTTGTCACCACAGAGCCCAGCGCCTTGCCCGCTGCGCCGTGGACTGTAGCCTCGCAGTGTATACGCACGTGCGTATCTCACTGTGGTATGTGTGTGTTTATGCCCTCTGTGCTTAACCTGTAACAAGTGAAACTTGTTCTTTAAAAACATTAAGCTGTTTTTCCCTTCCACGGTCTCAGTGATCATGCAGCCTTCGGTACCAGTAGTGTCCTCCTGAGAACAGTTTCCCACTCTGCCTGATGAGAATGGATTTTCTGAACTAATAAAGTCATAGGATATAAAAGATTGGGTGACTCAAAGAGCCTCTAGCCTAATTGGAAATGTAATTGATCGTGTTTTGCCAGATGTCATTTTAAGAATGTCTTTTTCTTTCAAGATGCTAAAGAAAACCCTTATGGGGAGGACGACAACAAGAGCCCGTTCCCCCTGCAGCCCAAAAACAAACGCAGCTATGCCCAGAATGTGACTGTCTGGATCAAGCCCAGCGGCCTGCAGGTAACATTACCATTTGCATGGCTTTCCACGGGGACAGGAGGCATTCAGGCAGGCAGGCAGGCAGACAGGGAATTTGATTTTCCTTCCTTTGATACTTAGTAATTCATTTACTTCTAATGTTTGTCATGATTTCCAAAAAGGATTTGAGATGGCCTGCAGTAAAACACATATATTGCAAAATCATTTTTTACAAAATTCAGAGCAGTAAGAGACCTAGAGGAAGAAGGGAGACATTTGTCCCAGGAACCCAAGGCAAAATGATAATTGCATTTAACAGTTTGTCTCTGAGCTTCCTGCTACCAAGGTCAAAAAAGAGACGGGTAATATTTTTCTTATCTGGTAAAAGGAAACACATTAGTTCTTCTAGAGAAGCACACTTTCCTCACATTGAGTATTTTTTTTGAAAGAGAATTTTTACTATAGAGCACGTGCGCATGCCAGAGAGGAGAGACAGAAAGCGAGAAATCACCTCCCACAGGAGATAGCCATGCCACAGTCCCTGCTCTTCCGTTCTCCTCCCAGAATTGTGAGCACACATGCATATGCACCCTGCATGAATTTTAAGCTGCCAGGCCCGGGATTCAAACTGCAGTTGACTACGTGGGAGTCCAGTGAGGTAACCATTATGCCATCTGTTGGTCCCCAATTTTTTTTTTTCCAAGAGAGATTTTTGCTACAGGGCATGTATGCTTACCATAGAGACAGATAAAGACAGAGAGAGAGAAAGCAAGAAATTATCCCCCGGGAGGATAGTCACATTACAATCCCTTTTCCTCCATTTTCCTCTCAAAATTTTGAGCACATATGTACATGCGGCCAGGTCTGGGAGTCAAACAGCAGTTGGCTACACAGGAGTCTAGCACCTTAGCCACTATGCCACCTGCTGGCCCCCTGGCATTGACTTTTAATTTTAAGAACATATAAAAGTCTTCATGTGGATTTTTTTTTCCCCTTCTACAGTGGAACCAAAGCCATAGCATTGCGTTGTATTGGGTTGTCTGAAAAGCCATGACATATTTTTCTATACAAAAATGCATCATGACTTCAGACAACCCAATAGTTCCACAGAAACTCTTCAATATGGAGCTAAGATCATGCTGTTGTCATGGAAGCTGCTTTCGGACAGGGTACTCAGGTACATGTCTCCTTCCATTGACATAAGATCATGTACACCTATTTGTAAAGATCATTTCTTAGGCCAGGCAACAGTGTGGTGGTTAAGGTGTTAGATCCAAATAGCCAACTGCACGGTTCAAATCCTGGACCTGATGGCTTGGAAAACACTCGGGCATGTGTGTGTCACGAAAGGACAGTGAAGAAGGGATTGTGACATGGCTGTCTCCCCCGAGGGAGTGCTTTATCACTCTCTTTCTCTTATATACATTTTACAGCAAATTAAAAAAAATTGGGGGGGACCAGCAATTAGCGTAAGAGAAGGGATTGCGGCGTGGCCATCCCCCCTGGGGTGTGATTTCTCGCTTTCTGTCTCTGTGTCTCTCTCTGTCTGGCGAGTGCACATGCCCTATCGCAAAAACCTCTCCGAAAAAAAAATTTTGTTAAACATTTATTTAATTTTATTTGTTATTATTTTTATTGTTATTATTATTTATTTAATTTGACTAGAGAGAGAAAGGGAAAGTGCGAAAGCAAGTCACCAGGTCTGGGACTCAAACCGCGGTTGGCCACGTGGGAGTCCAACACCCTTAACCACGATGCCACCTGCTGGCCCCAAATTAAAAAATAATAATAATAATAAAATAAAAAGTTTCCTCCCACTCTCCCTTCCTTCCTTCCCTCCACCACACCAATAGGATCTCACACTGCAACCCCAGCCAGCCTGGATCACGGCATGAGCATGTGCACTCACACCTGGCATTCACAGGCCGACCCAGGGACTGAACACCCTACTGCTGTGCCACTGTGACTAGGCCTTCAGTTATATTTTTAAATTTTGTTTTGGCCCTGGGTGTATTTTTTATTTTTTTATTGTGGTAAAATACACATAAATTTGCTGTGTCAGCCATATTAAAGTGTACGATTAGTGGTATTTCGTACATTCCCAGTGTACTGCAGCCGTCATCGCTCGTTCTAGAGCATGTGAAGCACCCCAGAGGAAGTGGAGAACATCCTCCCTTCTCCTGGGCCTGACAACTGCTAGTCTGCTTTCTAAGTGCATTTGCCTATTCTAGATATTTCATTTAAATAAAATAAGGCAATTTGTGGCCTTTTGTGTTGGCTTCTTACTTAGCATAATGTTTTCACAGTTCATTCATGTTACAGCATGTAGCAGCACCGTCCTTTATCATGGCTGAATAATATTCCATTGTATGCCAACCAAAATATACCATGTTTTATTCACTCATTCATTCGTTTGATAAACATTAGGGGTATTTCCACCTTTTGGCTATTCTAAATAATGCTGTTATGAGCATTCATACATAAGTATTTGTTTGGATACCTGTTTTAAATACTTTTATTTTTAAAATTTTCTATAGGGTACATGCACTTGCTGGAGAGTTGGCAACACTGCAGTCCCTTCTCCTTTATTCTCCTCTTGAGATTTTGGGCATGCACACGTACACATGCCCATTGTTTTTTAAACCCCCCGGTCAGGAATTGAACTGTGTATTTGGCCATGTGGGATCCAGCATGTTACCCACCACACCATTGGCTGGGATTGCTGGGCAATATGATAGTCCTGTTTAACGTATTGAAGAACTGTCACTTTTTCACAGCAATCAATATGCAAGTGTTCCAGTTTCTCCACACCCTCACCAATACTAGTTACTTTGCTTTTAAATTACAGCCATCATAGTGGTTTGTTGTCATGTTTTGATTTCCCTAATAACTAGTATTGTGCATCTTTTATGTGCTTACCAGCCATTTGTGTATATTCTTCAGAGGAGTGTCTACTCAAGTCCTTTGTCCATTTTTTAATTGGGTTGTTTGTCTTTTTGTCACTGAGTTCTTTATACATTTTGGATAATAGACCCTTAGTAAATATATGATTTTGCAAATATTTTCTCTCATTCTGTGGATTCTTTTCACACTTTTTTTTAAGAGATATTTTTGCAATAAGGCACCTGTGCTTGTCAGAGAGAAAGACAGAGAGACCAAAAGTGAGAAATTGCCTTTCAAGTGGCATGGCCATGCCAGAATCCCTTATCCATTCTCCTCGGAATATTGGGCACTGATGTGCCTGGCATGAGTTTGAAGCTACTGGGTCCGGGACTCAAACCATAGTTGGCCATGTGGGAGACCAGCAACATAACCGTTAGGCCATCTCCTGGTCCCTCTTATTCACACTTTTTTTCTTAATTCATGATAGAGCCCGTACATGTACATGAGAGAGATGAGCACCCTCCACAGGGTTGGATCACACCATAATCTCCTTGCAGGCCTCCAGCTCATCAGATCTTGGGTGCTTGCACGTGTGCCCGGCACGTCTTGGGCTGACTGGGTTGAGGAATCAAACCATGATTGCCATATATTGGGTCGTTGGAAAAGCCATGATGCGTTTTTGGATAGGAAAATACGTCGTGACTTTTCTGGCAACCCAGTGGGATCTGGCTTCTCTTGAGCAGCACAGCACGTTGCTGCCGCAGCGTGGGGCCAGCCTCCCACACACTGCTCCCCTTTGATACACACAAGTTTTTATAGTTTGGACCAAGTCGGTTTTTCTGCTTTTATTACTTGGATTTTTTGGTGTCAAAACTGAGAGATCATTGCCAAATCCAAGGTTGCGGAGATTTATATCCCTTTTTTCTTCTAAGTTCCATAGTTTAGCTCTTACGTTTAGGTCTCTGAACATTTT